CAATATTTGGACATTATTCCAAAATGACAACATAAGGCTGACATTTCTCCATGCTTCCTTTTTGCCCAAAGGTGAATTTTTGTGGAAACAATGAGCAAAATCTCTTTTCTCATTTTTGAATTATGAGGGGAGGGAGAAAAGAAATCCTCCAGTATAAAAAAGAATTTGTGAGTTATTTTTCCACCTCTCCTAGTGCTTGGCTTTAATAATATTTTGACTTGTATAGCCCTCTACAAACACTGTTTAGTAAGGCCTCACAGTGTCCTTATGCAGTAGCTCAATAAGGAATTATAGACTCCACATGGATTGGGTTACACATACATGGGAAGTCCCCAAAAATTTTTAAAGTCCATTTCTTAATGGCAGAATTTCAGAGGCGGTCATTCAAATACTACAGTGATAATCTCATCATAAATGCCTGGATGATGGATAGATAATTAGAAACAGGGCTTTTAATGCTATACATAGATAGTTCAAGAACCATATCTCCCAAGACACATGTGGCAGACTGGGGGGGATTAGGGTATTGTCCTGCGTGACTAATATAATCATTTTTGCTTATCTGAAATATTATATGAATCTGTGATTTCACTTCAAAAATTCACAAAAATGAATTAGCAGATTTCTCCATTCTGGTTGCATCTGCATAATTCTGATTTTTGGATCCTACAGCTCCAGTGAGTGTGGAGCATGGAATGTTATATTTACATTAATGAACTTAGATTACAGGAATCATTGCCAAATCACTACCATCATAGGTGAACATTGTTGGGCTCCTTAAATCACAGCCAATGATTGTGGTGGAAAACTGCTGAAAGAAGTGTATTTAACAGTCATGTTTAATTCTCAAACTCTTTGGAGTTTTTAAAGATGATTGGGAAATAGAGAGAAGTTAATCATAGAACTTTGATCGAGCACTTTGTTGCTTTACGGGTAATTTTGTTTCAGTGGCGAGAGCACACTGAATTCTTGTTTACACAGTGCGTCAGTTCTCACTAAAGGGATGTGAATTCTAGTGCACACTAGCATGTTGCACGCTAAAAGTTCCCTAATGCGGGACAACATTACTCTGCACTGTGGAACTTTTAGTGCACAGTAGCAGGGTCCACACGGACCAGTCAGTGCGCAACATGCTGATGTCCAGTAGAATTACTTCCCTCTTGTGCTGACTAATGCACCATGGATAAGCATTAATGGTAAATGGCTAACAATAGAGCCTTAATTACCTTTCTCTTTACAGGCAGAAGTAATTGATGTGCAGTATGGGACTGTAGAAGATTTAGTCCTGATTCAAGCCATGACAAATGTGACCAATAAAATCGCACTTCTGAAGCTAGGACAATCACCTTTACTCTATAAGGTTAGTTACTTGTCTGATGTACTTTATCTGAGTAATTTCTTTTGTTGTTCATTTCCAGATACTAAAATGGGGCCTTGTGTTGCCATCTCTAATGCAGCAGGCCAGTATCTGTTGGCATTTAATAGACTCCTTAACTCTTTCGTGCAAGTGTCTGCAGTGCTTGCTTAGTTCCAGTTTTGATACTGCATTATACAGTTCAATAAAACAGATGGCATATCAGAGGCTGCCTGTTGAGAGTGCCATATTTTCCCTGCGTGGTGTAAATCTTACGGCGAGGGAAGGAATCTGTAGGAGAGAGAGGGAATGAATCCAAGAAAAGAAGCGGCTGAGAGTAGGGGTAGCTGGAGCCTTGTCTGTCTGAAATTTGCATGTCGTTTTAGGCTGAAATCTCTGACTCAGACATTCTATCTAGTACTTGGCCTGCTGGAGACTTAAACATGCCCTGAGGTGAAGCTGAGTGCAGCCTGTGCCAGCTTAACCTCAGGCTTTTGAGGATCTTCCCAAGCCCGCTGGGCTGCCTTCAAAATCCAGAGCTGCTTAACTTGCTATGACTGCTCTACAGACACTGAAATTGTGAAGTGATCCTCAATGAAAATACAGCACAGGAGGAATAAACAGATGGGGCCTATCAGGCAGGCTGCAAATGAGACAGTTCTTGGTCTTCACTATGGTTTGCTTTACCTGGTTTAATTGTATATGCTATACATACCCAAGCTGGCCCAGTGGCAATGCTGCCATTGGCTCTGTAGCTTTCCTCCCCATTCTTACTACCTCCGAGGGAGGGAAGAACTGTAGAGAGGAAAACATCATTAACTTTTACGGAGTTTTCTGCCATAAAATGTGTGAGGGCATGCTGCCTAAAGCATCTGTACTTTACTTTAGCTCTCCACTTCCACTGCAGGCCAGCCACCTCCTCTGATATAGCGGACAACCAGAAAGCCATTTTAAAGAGACATATAAAAGGCCAACTGCCAGCTCAGAATGAGAGCATATTGTGTAGTTTCTGTTCCCCTCCTTCCTTGCTCTCTGGCTGTGTGTGTGTGAGTGTGTGTTTGCTTCCTTCCATCTCTGATATTGCTGGAGAGCAAAGAGATTAAACATGTTTGTTCATTTTCATCTGAGACTCGACTAAGATCCAAATATTATATAAAAATTGAGTTATATTTTTGATGTTAAAAACTCTATTTTTTATTGTGAATATTTTATAAATACGAATTACATTAGTTTGGTATTTCAAAAGACTCTGCTGGCTCAGTAAATAATTAAACAAGACACTTCATGCCCAATTCACAGAAGCAATTATAAAAGACCAGTATCTCCAGATTTTATAATTAAAAGAATCCAGAGCTGCTCCACTGGCCACAGAAATCACAATGAAGACCAGGACACCGGTTCATAAAATAGCTGCTTAATATTTTTTGAATAGAAACAATCTTTGTCTCAATGAAAATGCCATTTTCAACTGAATAATTTCAGTTATTTATCTAAATTATTTAGAGCCAATCTCATTACATACATGAAAGGTCAGTAATCACTGTCAGAATTTGACATGTGCAGCAGCCTCGCGCATAGATTTTATGCTGCATTTCATTGTTAAATGCCAGTAACAGTGAAATCCTGGCCTGTTAAAATCCCTGGCAAAATTCCCATTGATTTCAGTAGAACCTGGATTTCACCCCTGAATTTTTTTAAAACTGTTCTTCATTCTGTTTGTGTTTATGTACTTACTGAGTCTTCCGTTTCTGTTTCTCCAGACCCTCCTCTCCTCCTTGCCTTTTTTTCCTTCTTTCTTCCACATACTTTGTTTTACAGCATGTTAAAACAGAAAGTTGATTCCAAGCAGAGCTGTAATTATAATTTATTTCCTGTTTTTCATCCTAAATTTTGTATTTAACTCACATTTTCCCTATTTAGTGAACTTTAATCTCTCATGATTATATTAAAACTATTGTATTTATGTTACAGTAGTGTCCAAAGGTCCCAATCAAGAGTGGAGTGCTACCATGGCAGGTATATGCAGAGACATCATCCTTGTCCTGTAGTTTACAATTATCCCCTTATTTTTCGATTTCCCCCCCCACCCCGCTTTACTTTGTCAATCTGTTTGTCTCTGTATCTCTTTACTGCAATCTCTTCTATCTTTTCATTGTCCTTCATATTCCCCTCCTCTCCCCCATATTGTGTGTGGTTTTTGTTTGTTTGTTTTTTACCTCCTCTCTTTCTCTCCTTATTGAGTCCACTGGAGAAAGTCCAAAAGACAACATTTTTATTATTAGCAAAGCTAGGCCTGAGTTCACAAGAAGCACATTTCCTTGGTTTTATAGATCATACTCAGCAAAAAAGCAGAAAACAGTTGTTCATTCAAATACGCACTGGGTGACAGTTTATATAGAACTTGTAAAATATGGATATAGATCTGGATTTTTGAAGCCTTCAGTGTTCTGGGTCTTTGGATATGCAGTTTTTGTTCTGCCCATGGCACTGATTTGTGCAGTTCTGGCCAACCACAAAATTCAGCTCCAGATACAGATTGATAATGTCACTCCTCTTCAGAGTTTGTGTGGTCCATTACAGAGATTTGGCAGACTGCAAAATTTGCATCTGGGAACAAATTCTAAACCCATTTTGGGATGTTTGGATAGAGTCTTTTGGTTTGCTCCCATCTTTAGTATTTTATATGGGTCTATTGAAGACAGTTTACCGGATGGGGAGCCAGCAGCAGAAGGAGAAAGGAAAGAACTATGAAACTAACCTTGGGCTAAATTCTGTAGATGTCCATTGACTTCAGTGTGACTACTCGCACGAGTAAAGGCTACTCAGTGCGGGTAACATTTGCAGAATCTGGCCCTACATTTTGTTTAGATCCAGAACGGAGGATGCAGCTGGAGTAGTGGCTGTAGAGGAGCTGTGTTGTTGAACTTTAACCTTCCTGTTGAATCTACCCTCCATCTCCCATAGATATAAAAATCCATAAGCTGGATCACTTGATCTTTGTGAGGAAAGGTGATGAATTTCACTATAGGTGACCAGTAAACCATTTGGTGATTAAATGTACCTACTCAAGAGACAGCATTCGGACTCATCTAATCAGTTAAAAGATAGAAATTTCCTAATCTGATGCTATAAAATGCAGGATGACAAAAAGATAAATGCTTTAGGGCCAGTTTATGTTTTCACAATCTGCCCTAAGTAAGGGGCTGGCATAGCTGCCCTGCTCCTGGGAATGAATTGTGACTCGGAGTCACAGTTCATTTCCTGTTTGTTCCCTTACTGTAACAGTAGCAGATTACTTGCCCTCTGCACAAACTTACTGTGCCCTGTTGGGTCCATTTGGAGGTGGTGGGTGGGGAGAGATTCTGAGCACTGCATGTTGACCTAGACAGGAGGGTAGTAGCAGCCCCGCTCTCCCCACAGTGGTGTGAAGTTCAAGGTGCATGGCCCATGTAATTTATATACCCCCTGTTTCAACCGGAATGGACACATGAAACAAGCAGCAATCTTGCCCTCTAGGTTAGGTGAGAATGAGACAGTAATCACAACATGCAAACTTATTTCTCTGCTTCAGAAGCACTAAAGGCCTGATTCACTTTATCAAGAATCTCATAGATACCAATCATGATTTAATCATTTGGAATTGGGATTCAATATAAAGCATAACTTCAGTCCTAAATTAACTTTTAATAGCCTCGAGGACCCAACCACTCTAGCTTAAAAATGTTCACAGTTTAACATATTTTAAAAAATACATTACATGAAATGTTATTTTATTGCAGAAATATCTATATTTATTTTAATAATTTACAGTCTTCATAAATAGTAACACAATTGCTTTTTAACTGTTATAAAGTTTTTGGAAATGTGCATTTATGCAAGGGTTATTGGCAGGCACTTATTAATTAGGTTTTACTAGATAGTAAATATTAAAAATCCTTTGTGTTTTCAAAAAATGCCCATTTTTAATATTTACACTGGGAAATGTCTTAATTTTTAACTTCAATACATTATGTTAATATCAATTTTTTAAAAACATTATTTGTTTGTCTCTCCCTCCCCTCCTCACTTTTATGGTTCGCACAACGTAATTGAGGAAATAGTATTCTAAAATCTCTGAGTTAGGACACTAGATATTTTTCTACTTAGCTTGAATGGGAGTAAGCATAGGAAATACCATTGAAAGCTGATAGGGGAGACATTTGAATGCGTTCTTGCCACTCTGGAGGAATTGGGTTGTCAGGTGTCTGGTTTTCGATCGGAACACGCGGTCAAAAGGGGACCCTGGCAGCTCTCGTCAGCACTGCTGACTGGACCACTAAAAGTCCATTTGGCACAGGGCTGGCTGGCTTCCTATCCAGCTCCCGCATGGCTCCCAAGGAGCGGCAACATGTCTCTCGGGCTCCTAGGCATTGGGGCGGCCATGGGGGCCCCTTGCGCTGCCCCTGCCCTGAGCACCGGCTCTGTAGCTGCCATTGGCTGGGAACCAATGAGATTCTTGTGAAGGAACAAGTACAATATTTTGAAGGCTTGGTCTTGACAAAGTGCAGTTAATATCTGGCAGGAGTTGGAAATGGAATTGTTTCTACGATGATTTTTTTCTACAACTCATCAATATTTGAAACCAAAATGTTAGTTTAATCAATAAAAATCTACTGTCGTTTGCTGCTTACTTCCTCTTTGGTTTCAAAATCTGGTGGTTTTTTAAATGGAGGGATAAACAAGTTATTAGAAGGGCAAAGGAGGGAATGAATAAGTTAATGAGCAAAAGAAGATACTGACCACTGCAGTTCTGATGCAACAGTTTTTCCCTGAATGTTTTGAAAATCTGGTACTGTTTTGCATGGATAGTTGGGCTCCAAACAGAAGGCCTGACCCAAATAGGGTATGAGTGCCTTTGGGTCTCTACTGAGTGCCTGGAATTTCTCTCTGCAGGACTGTACCCTGAGTTCTGAGTAAGCCATGCACCTGGGCAAATAGTTGGTTATTTTCAATAGCAGTCAGTATTT